TCATATAAAAAATGGAGAGTAGGACAAATTACAAAGGATGAATATAGGCAAACAGTACAGGAATGCAGGGGCAAGATTAGAAAGGCAAAGGCACAGAATGAGCTCAAACTAGCTACTGGAATAAAGGGAAACAAGACGACTTTTTATAAATACAATAGAAGCAAGAGGAAGACCAAGGAGAAGGTAGGCCTACTGGTCAGTGAGGAGGGAGAAACAGTAACAGGAAACTTGGAGATGCTCAATGACTTCTTTGTTTCGGTCTTCACTGAGAAATCTGAAGGAACACCTAACATAGTGAATGCCAGTGGGAAAGGGGTAGTTTTAGAAGGTAAAATAAAAAAAAAAACAAGTTGAAAAGCACCTAGAAAAGTTAGATGGCCTGCAAGTCACCAGGGCCTGATGAAATGCATGTTAGAATACTGAAGGAGCTAATAGAGGAGGTATCTGAGCCTCTAGCTATCATCTTTGGAAAATCATGGGAGACAGGAGAGATTCCAGAGGACTGGAAAAGGGCAAATATAGTGCCCATTTATAAAAAGGGAAATAAGAACAATCCAGGAAACTACAGACCAGTTAGTACAACTTCTGTGGGAAGCAAGTAATTAAGGAAATCATCTGTAAACGCTTGGAAAGTGGCAAGGTGATAGGGAACAACCTGCATGGATTTGTAAAGAACAAATCATGTCAAACCAATCTGATAGCTTTCTTTAATAGGATTACGAGTCTTGTGGGTAAGGGAGAAGCGGTGGATGTGGTATACCTAAACTTTAATAAGGCGTTTGATACGGTTTCGCATGATATTCTTATCAATAAACTAGGTAAATACAACTTAGATGGGGCTACTATAAGGTAGGTGCATAACTGGCTGGAAAACCATACTCAGAGAGTAGTTATTAATGGTTCACAATCCTGCTGGAAAGGCATAACAAGTGGGGTTCCGCAGGGGTCTGTTTTCGGACCGGCTCTGTTGAATACCTTCAACAATATAGATATTGGTATAGAAAGTACGCTTATTAAGTTTGCAGATGATACCAAGCTGGGAGGCGTTGCGACTAATCTGGAAGATAGGGTCATAATTCAAAATGACCTGGGCAAATTGGAGAAATGGTCTGAGGTAAATAGGATGAAGTTTAATAAAGACACATGCAAAGTGCTCCACTTAGGAAGGAACAATCAGTTTCATACATACAGAATGGGAAGCGACTGTCTGGGAAGGAGTACGGCAGAAAGAGATCTAGGGGTTATAGTGGACCACAAGTTGAATGAGTCAGCAGTGTGATGCTGTTGCAAAGAAAGCAAACATGATTCTGGGATGCATTAACAGGTGTGTTGTGAGCAAGACACGAGGAGTCATTCTTCCGCTCTATTCTGCACTGGTTAGGCCTCAGTTGGAGTATTGTGTTCAGTTCTGGGCACCGTATTTCAAGAAAGATGTGGAGAAATTAGGGTCCAGAGAAGAGCAACGACAATGACTAAAGGTCTAGAGAATATGACCTACGAGGGAAGGCTGGAAAAGAGAAGATTGAGGGGGAACATAATAGCAGTTTTCAGGTATCTAAATGGGTGTCATAAGGAGGAGGGAGAAAACTTGTTCATCTTGGCCTCTGGGGATAGAACAAGAAGCAATGGGCTTAAACTGCAGCAAGGGAGGTTTAGGTTGGACATTAGGAAAAAGTTCCTAACTGTCAGGATAGTCAAACACTGGAATAAAATGCCCAGGGAGGTTGTGGAATCTCCATCTGTGGAGATATTTATGACTAGGTTAGATAAATGTCTATCAGGGATGGTCTAGACAGTATTTGGTCCTGCCATGAGGACAGAGGACTAGACTCATTGACCTCTCAAGGTCCCTTCCAGTCCTAGTATTCTATGATCTGGCACCATTAACCAATAAGCAATCACTTATCAGTTAAACGGTTAGCCAGCTAGCCGTTAACATCCCTAATCCTTATCAATGTGTTCTTCATCCAGGATAGTTTACTTGGTCCTCGGATTAATAGATATTTGAAAGTTTTCCACCTTGTCCAAGGCAGTTAGCTGTTTTAACACATTTCTAGCTAGTCTAGCGTGCATTGTTATATACAGAATCTCAGGCACGTTAACATTTTGGAATAGATGCTTTTGTCTCATTTTTCAATCTGAGGTGATGTCTACAAAACAGAATTGTTCTAGAGTAGCTTTTCTGATCAGGGATTTGATGAGGAGTAATCTGTGACCATTTTAGCTGTGCCAGCAAAAGCCCCTAGTGTAGATGTAGTTATACTGGCAAATTAATTCTTGCTGATAAAGATTTTCCTCAATGGGCTAGAATAAGTTACACTGGCAAAAGCATGCATGCTCACTAGGAGAGCTTTGCTGGTATAATTTACAAGTATTCAAAGTTCTGTTAGTGTAAACCTAACCTAACAGTATCCCACAAAATACCTGCTCTTGTCTGAAAAATATTTTGAAGCCTATTTAACTCATTGGGTACCCCAATTCAGGGGAGTCGGTTGAGAGCTGAATTTGATTCATTCTTTAAGAGAATTTCCTTGCCTTCAAGGTTGTATTGTAGAACCTAGAGTTGAAAGAGGACCCTGAGAAATCCTTGTCTATACATCTTGCTTGTGGCATGGATTTAAGAGTTAATTCACACAACCAAATTATGACAGTAACATTTGATGCTACAGTTAGAGATTAATGGACTGAGTGGTGTTCATTGCCCGCAGTTACTCAAAGTGCTCTGAATCTCTGGAAAAATTAGACACCTTAATAGCATTTATACTGAAAAAGAATTGTAGATTTAAGGCCAAAATTTTCCCTGGTATAAGCAGGCACAGATTCTTTCAACTCGGTGGAGTTTGATGAGGGCTAAATTTGTCCCATTATCCTTAAGTGAATTTTCTTGCCTTCAGTAGTATCTCAGATCTTTAATACACTTGTAATGGTCTGTAGGTTTTTGTTGAATGTATACCACTTGCTTTTACACTTCAAATTTCATATTAAAGAATTGCTTATGTAATGAAAAATTCTTTCAATGGTAGAAAATTGAGTGCCATTGGCCAAAATAGTTGTCATTTAAAAACCCTGTAGATTCCAGATCCGTTTGATAGTTTTCAAACAGCTGGTGATGGATATTGCAAAGCCTGAAATCACTGTAGTGTGAAGAAAGCTGAAGTTGTATTAAATCTCTGTACTTTAGTGATTGCTAGAAACATTCCGGTGCTGCTCTCTCCAACTGGTGTGAAGTGTCTAGATAAACATACAGAATGGAGGCCAAGTGAGAGCAGTAATATCATGGGCCCAAATATTCAAGAGGCTTGGACACTTGATATTTTGGGGCATAAATGGAATCAGATGTTTAACAGTGCCCCTTGATTATGTGCAAAGTGGCACCAATTGTCATTAGTTGGAATGGGTCCCCTACCTCACTTTTAGAGCACATGGGCAAATATCTTGAGTTTTGCCTTTTTAGGGAACATTCCTAGTAAAAAGTAGGAATATATTGTATATTCTCTGCAATGTGCACAGACCTCTGGATCCTTCCAGTTTTTTCCTGTTTGGAATGTAAAATAAAACTGTTTAGAGACCCATTTAATATTTATACTCTATCCATATTTGGTTAAAGTTTTTGCCTTGGCACTGACAGCTGCATGTACTTTGTGGGTGAGTGTGAGAGACCCGGTCACTTGGAGTGATGGGGAGGAGATTGGAGGAGCCTTTGATATCTGCCTTATGTTCCTTTGCACCTGGGCTGCATCTAGACTGGCATGATTTTGTGGAAATACTTTTAACGGAAAGTATTTCCGCAAAAGAGCGTCTAGATTGGCACTGATGCTTTGCGCAAAAAGTGCTTTTGCACAAAAGCATCCGTGTCCAGTATAGATGCGCTTTTGCGCAAGAAAGCTCCGATGGCCATTTTAGCCATTGGGCTTTCTTGTGCAAAAAATTAAGGTGCCTGTCTACACTGGCCCTCTTGCGTAAGTATTCTTGTGCAAGAGGGCTTATCCCGGAGCGGGAGCGTCAAAGTATTTGCGTAAGAAGCACTGAATTCTTACTTTAGAACGTCAGTGCTCTTGCGCAAATTCAAGAGGCCAGTGTAGACAGCTGGCAAGTTTTTGTGCAAAAGCGGCCCCTTTTGCGCAAAATCTTGCCAGTCTAGACGCACCCTTGCTTTTTGACTCATGAGGAATAGGAGGGCAATGATTTGGCCTGATGCACAAGGCACCTGAGGAGGTAACCCAGAGACCTGTAGCTTGGTACATGCTTTCTGTGTGATGTTGGGCAAATGTGTTCACCTCTGTCTGTTTCTGCTCCCACCCATTTTTTTTTTTTTTTGGTTTAGATAGTAAAATCTTTAGACCAGAAATAATTTTGGGTCATTTGGCCAGTTTTTCGTTTCCTGGCTCTCTGTATCGTGTTTCTTTCTACAGTCCTATTCCTTTTCTAGAAAAAAAAAATTTTTTCTTCTTTTTTCCAGCTCAGGAATTTCAGCTGTGCTAAATGAAAATATACCTAGCACATCAGATACATTTAAATTCATACAATATAAAACAATTGTTATCATACCGGTGTCTTGGTTAAGTTACTTTTGGTTCCGAAGTTCTCTGTGTTATAACAAAGATGAAACATGCCAATGATCAGGAGAACTTTGAGCAGTATCAATGTTGTTTCTGTGGTGCAGAAAAAAACTGCTGTTTGTTTATTTGTGGGCTTGCTCTGACTCAGTATTTCTGAAACTTAAATATAATCCTTGTCAGAGCACACTCTTCTGCTGATTATTCCAGATATTTTAACCTAACTTCAAATCCTCTGTTTTAGCACTTGAGCCTCATCTGCGTTGTTGAAAGGTGAGTTTTTAACTCCATATACTTGGGCTGACTGGATTCAGATCACCCTTCAGGCTAAGTACACTAGCCCCGCAAGCTCATAATGCAGGAATGAATCGCCTAACACAGACTCCTACTAATCATTTAAAATAGATGAGCTAATATACATGGGGGGAGAACCGAAGCAATGAAGCTGTTTTAAAAGACTAGGCTTTATGCCAAACTGTGAAGATATTTTAGGAACAAAGGTCTTGTTAGCCAAAACACATCTTGCTGGGTTCATCTTGATCTTAAAAACCATTGGCTCATGAAGTAACATTTATGAATAAGGTCACTGAAATCTTCTGTTGCCACACATCTTAGTTTTCGTTTTCTGCAGTCTTTTATTAATTAGTGAAAAGTCTGTCCTAAGGATCTGAAATCAACCCTTTTCTTTCCACTGCAGCGGAGCCTCTCCACTAAGCGATTGCTCAAAGGACTTGCACTTCTTTCTGTAGTTTCCGTTTGTAGGCCATAGGCTCAAAGAAAAAGGAAATGGGTGCGATGAGATAACAGGTTCCAGCAAAGAGGAAGGAGCAGGCATATGTCTGAGTGTAGTCATATAGCCAACCTGCAATGGATGAGGAGTCTGTTATTAAGACTGCTGGACTTTCCCACATGGCAACCCTTGCAGGGTTTCATAATAACATTGAAAACTGAAATGCATTATGGCTCAGAACCTCACTGAGAAAATCCTGAAGCAGGATGTATACAGACACTCCAGGGTTCTGGCCCACGAAAGCTCATCATCTAATAAACCATCTTGTTAGTCTTTAAAGTGCTACATTATTCTGCATTTTGCTCCAGTGTTCAGTATTAGATTTCATATATTGGTATTATGCCTACTGCAGTCTTGTTTTTACTGTCCGAAATTAGTCCCTGAATCTGCTGCCTTCTGGAACCACAATTTGATATGGAACTACAGCTAAGCTTAATGTGATGTGTATTCATGAAAGATTTTTAAAATAGAAGACACTTTAAACTGGGCCTAACTAGTTTTTTCCTGGGGTGCTGGTAAACAAGATTTTAAAAGCTACCTCTGGTAAATAACCATGACATCCTTGTGTTGCTACTGTGCAAGCTATCTAAAGGAAAGTTAGCTTGGGTATGTCTGCATGTGCTTCAGTCATACCTCTGATTGCAGTGTAGACAGACACTTGGATATAGAAGGCATGTTGAGGACAGTACCAAGATAAGATGAAGACTTGATAAGCCAGATCCTCAGCTAGTGGAAAGATAATAGATTCATGGATGCCAGTGACGTTATCCCAGTTCAGGATATGGCCCAGTATGTCAGAGATTCTAAAACTAATCTCCAATCAGGAAGAAATATGTAGCAGTAAGATTAGAACAGCCCCTACTTTTCCTTAGCCATGTGGCTGTTTTAATCAGGGCTTTTGCCTGTTGCAGAGAGTAGATAGTAATGGGAAAAACATCTAATTTCTACATCATTACTGAGACATCTTGTCTCATTTTCTCAGGGATATTGTTTGGGCCCTTGAATTTGTAAGCTTTAAATGGCAAGTTATCTGTAATATAAGGGTATAAGGTAAACACTTTCTTTCATAGGATGTGGTGATTTCCCATGGTACAAAAGCGTGCTATGTTTTAGGTGGGCAGTTTACTTAAATACACAATCATAGGATTAAAATGTCCAGAACAAAGTGACACACACTCTGGTTTTTAGAGTTTACAGAAAGCATTAAAAATACCTACTTAACATTCAGAGAACACAAAATTCACATTTTCCATTCTGCTCAGCTGTCTTCAAAATCATTAGTAGGTGGTGCCTGCCTACCACCTCTTACCAGCTGGAATTGACTCTCACATTTTGAGAGCCTTTAATCATAGAAATGTCTTAATAGTTTGTGGGTTTTTTGTGGTGGTTTTTTTTTTTTCTTATTGGCTGGAGAAAGCAGATTGCAGCTAACCACTGAGTGTTACCGAAGGATTAGTCAGTGAATTGGAGAGAAACTAAAGGGGATGGAAGTTTCCAGGGGAAACCTAAAAAAGCAGCATTTCTTTAAACGTAAGTAGTGCTGATAAATCCTTGCCCATCACAAAACACACTAACCCATCCCAGTGTATGCCTACACCATATCTGTCATTCCTTTGTCACCACTAATGGAGCTAGAGGTGCCTGCTGTGCTCTTTTTCCCCAAATTGCCTTTTGCTTTGAATTCTAACTGTTCTGGTAAAAGCGTGATGGTTGGTTTGTAATGTTCCTGTGAAGCTCAGAATGGTTCACATACTAAGCTTGTTCATGCCTCTAAAAATCAGCCTGTTTTATTCTCCTGTGTCATGTTTAATTTTGTTTCTAGACTGTCAGAAGTATTCACAGAGCAAACAAACATCCCTTGGATGATGAGCAGGTAAGTGGTCACTACTTGCTGGTGGGGCTTCAAACTTTTTTAGTTCTGGATGTGCTGGTGGGGCTTCAAACCTTTTTAGTTCTGGATGTTCAACCACTGCTCTTGACTTTGGGCCTAGAAACAGGAGTTGGGAAACAAGGCTTTCTGGTAAGTGGGTTTTTTCTTAGTGTGCATGTTGGATTTTGTTGTTGTCTTGTGCAGAATAGGCCATGCATGTGAAAGTGTAAATGTGTACCTGGTTAACGGCTGGACCTGGACTTACTGGTTAACCTTCATGCAGCTTCCCTCAATCCCCACGCACTGCTGCCTCTAACAGAGCTGTGTGTAACTGCTGACATTTTCAGTGGTTACACATTTACCTAAATAAACATCCCTCACCTCTTGGTGGTCTTATGTGCCGTGTATGTTGTACTAGATGTGCTGAGTTCATGGAAATGACTCTGCAAAAATTAATCTTATAACTTCAGTGCTGTCGTTAAGTTAGGAGCAGTTGAGTCAATTGGTCAAAGCAAGAGAGAGCCTAAAACCATCTTTATTAGCAGTAACAAGCTTCTTTTATTTTCCACCAGAATTAATCTTCATTGTGAAGTGCAAGGGGCAAATGCTTGTGCAATCTAGGAAAGTTAGTATTTTTCTAACATGCAGATTTCACACTTATATGGTTTGAGTTGAGGGAGACATTGCAGAGTTCTTGGATCTCAGGATTGCACCCTGGACACACAGTGATGTACTTAGACCCATCTTCCCTTCCTCTTTATGGGATAAACTATCCTGCACAATTGAAGGGACTGAAAAAATGAGAGAACACCATAGAGCTGGAATGACCTAAGAAGGTCATCAAGTCCAGCCCCCTGCTCTAGGCAGGACCAATCCCAACTAAATCAACCCATCCAGGGCTTTGTCAAGCCAAGACTTCCTCTCCTTCCTGTTGCTGGCTATCTCCCATCTCCATTATATTGGTGGGACTTGGATTTATACAAATAGCTCAGTCCTTAGAAATAAAGGACACCTCACCAATTAGTGATGCTATGTTACAAGCAGGTGAAAGTGCAACAGCCACGTTAGCACGTATGATACACAGACAAGAATATACAGAAAGTGAAGTAATTCCCTGTGTAAGGTACTTGGGACAGACTTGGAACGAAGCATGTGACCAGGTCAGACACATCCAACCATTGGGTAGAGATGCCTACAAGGAACTGTACACACAAAATTTGGGTTGGAACTTTTTTCCTATGCTGATGGTCTATTTACAAGATGGATGAGTTACTGAATGTCATTCACCCACTGCTGTTTGAACTGGCAGCTTTATTCATACACTGTAAAACGTTAGCCTGGGAATAGCTGAAGATACTGACCCCATGTCAGATTCACATCTATTCATGTTCACTGTATTCAGATAAGGTGAATGGTCCAGTGGAAGGGTAGGGTGAGCCTTGGACAGGGATGCATAAAGCAACATGCAAATTCCTCCTCAGTGTAAGCGAATAAAGAAATATTTGGCTTTGTATATTTTAATCAATATAGCACCCAAATGTGCCTCACATTCTGTACAGAATAATATGGTACTTGCAGGGGTGGGAGGGGGAGGGCTTTCGCTTATTTGAGCCTACATAAGCTATTTAGCGTTAAATCCTTAGTCAAGTCGGGACATGACAACTGAAACCACTTTGCTCCCCTCTGCTCTATACAAAGCTCTGCAAATATATCCCCTACATCTCATGCTTCTGGGACCAGGTTATCACCTTTTCAAATCCCTTCAGCATCAAGTTAAACTGAAATAAGTTTGAGTCTAGTAAAGTCATCCTTTAGATGCTACCATTCTTTCCTCTCCCTTCCCCTGGAGAGAGGGTCAGAGCTAATGCAAATGCTGTGTTGCTTATAACCATGAACTCGTGTGTCTTAAGTACCTTTCAGCTTGGGTCTTAGATATTTCCTAGTAAATACTTGGGTATTAGAGAAGAACTAAGAGTATTTCCTGTCAAGAGGAGAGGGAAAATATTGCTGCTTTGTTACCTGCAATAGGCGGTCCAGCGATGACAGCTATCCCAGCAAAGAATGAGGCAAATCCTAAAGAACTGTGGAGTCTGGGGACACCTACAAGATCCACCTGTTGATGGAAGCAGAATGTTTATTTGTTGTCATGTACAGGGACATTAGAATGAAGTTTCTCTGGGGAGTCTCCTCTTAACTCTGTTCTAGGTTAAAAGTAGTTTGTACATTCCAAATTAACCCCAAGGTGGGTGCGATCAGTACTGAAATCACTAGTGAAATCATTAGGATGCTTGATGCATTTCTAACCCTGGGCCATACAGGCACTTGAAGTAACTAATTTAAGTCCTAGAACACTAGGACTGGAAGGAACCTCGAGAGGCATCGAATCCAGTCCCTGCCTTCCCGGCAGGACCCGGCACCATCTAGAGTAGATCATCCCTGCTGTCTTCTGAAGGTATTTTAAACTCACTCCTTGGAGACAATGCTGCATTTTAAATGGAGAGATATATCTGTAGAACTCTTCTTGTCCAGTGTGATGCTACAGTCTGCCTTAAGTGGCCATAGGCAGAGTCCTTCACCTTATCAATATTGATTTAGGTTACAAATGTATGAACTTCAGGCTACGTCTACACGACAAGTTTTCTTGGCAAAATATGCTAATGAGGGACTCATTTGCATGAGTCGTGATCTCATTTGCATATTCTGTTCTGTTTTTTTGCTAGGGTTTGTGCAAAAACAAGCAGTGTGGATGTTTTCTTTTTGTGCAAAATCCCCTTTTCCCACAAAATCCTTATGCCCCCAAAAAGATTTACCAATATTGCCGGAAAAGGGGGTTTTGTGCAGAAAGAAAACATCCACGCTGCTTGTTTTTGCACAAAAACACGAGTGAAACTGGATCAGCAGAAAATATGCAAATGAGATTGACTCATGCAAATGAGCCCATTAACATATTTTTTGCTGTGAGAACTTGTTGTGTAGATGTAGCCTCCGTGTTCTCCTCACTGTCTCTGTTGACAGAGTGCAATACCTAAGCTGGAACAATGGCATTGAGAGAGGACTTGGGAAGCCAATATGTTGAGGGTGCTCCCAGTACCTTGCATCTAAGACACCTCACCTGTCTGTCTGTGTAATCTTAAAACCAGTAAACTAACAAGGTCCCCTTCCCCCCCCACTCCCCTTGGTTTGACACTGAGTGTTCTGAGTGCTCAGTCCTCTGACTGCAATCTCTGGCAGCTGTGGGTGCTCAATACTTTAGAAAAGGGCCCCATGTTTTCAGGTGTTTTAAAGATGCTCAGTTGGAAAGGCAAAGAATTCCTGTATTACCTCTCGCTGAAATCCTTTACTCACCAGCACAGGGAGCAGCAGAGCCAAGTATCCACCACAGAAAATGGCAAAGCTTCCTGCATAGACCATAAGTAATGGGAAAGATGTGGCCAGAGGAGCCAGCAGGTTAGTGATGCCACACAGAATAAGGTAAGTCTTATGGTAATGATACTTCTTGATCCAGTTCTGATCAGCAATCCAGCCAGAGAGCAATTGGCTGACTGTCTCTATAATCCCTAGAGAGAAACAAAGTCCTTGTGAAGGCCCTAGCCAAATCTTTCAGAAATTGTTCAGCAGCGTTTTCAAAAACGTGGTCCCGTGGCACCTTAGAGACTAGCAAAAATACATGCAGTACCATGAGCTTTTGTGGGCTAAACCTACTTCAGCTGAGCTTGAATTTTGTGCACTTGTTGATTCTTCATGATGTACAAAAATATTTGCCTGAAATGTTTATTAAAAAAATCTGAATGTTACATTTAGGATATGACATCACAAGATTGAAAAGCAGGGAAGTTATGAGGCTGGGATTTTGTTCGAAAACGTTTTTTCCGGACAGTGCTTCTTAAGCATTCAGTAGGCACCTGAGTTGAGAAGGGATGCTCTGTTAAAAATTAAGTTGAGGGATGCAATGGTTAACATAAATGAGACATGCACACAAAGGCATCCAGCAAAATCAGTAGACTGCACTTGGTATTCCTGACCAAACACAGCTCCACCTACACCCATCATGAAGCAGTCAAAAGGGCATATGTCCAACATTTTTAAAAGTGCAGGGCCACTTAATACTATTCACATTACCTTCTAGGTATGTTACATGAACTAGTCTGGCGCTCAGGAAAGTGCTGACTGCTACTAATCATTCTGTTGGCTGAAAAGTGATTCTTGTCAATGTCATCTGCAAAGTAAGTATTGGGTTCTTAATCTCTATCAGTTGCCCCTCTAGTGCAAATATTCCCTAAATAAAAAACCAAGGATGTGAATTTTGGGTACACGCTTGTTGTACACACAGCACTCTTTAGGGCATGAGTGGAGCTACATCCTTAATGCTTTGTGAGGTGCATGTTTTGAAGTTGAATTAGATCTTCACTCCCACTACAGAAAACGATGGTTTGACTTTTGAGGTTAACAGACTTTGTTCACAACTGCTGTATTTAAAGTAGGATGGCCTGTGCCATTCTTTGCCATTTAAATCGTCTCCGTCTGTTCTGTAAATGCAAAGTGTTTCACAACAGAGAAGTGGCTGACTGGATTAGGGGAGAAGATAAAGGTAGCAACCTATAGTGTTGTCTTCACTACGAAAAAAGGGGGGCGGCAGTGGAGAACAACTTGTTCTCAACTTGATTTAGACTTAAGGGCAGAAGGGCCTTTAGTCTGGTCTCCAGCACGTTGCAGGCCATAGAACCTGGCCTGACCTCTGACCGAGTTACCGAAGTCCTCAGATCTTGATGTCAAGTTACAGAGAATTCAGCATTTAGAATCTTAGGGCTGGCGGAGACCTCAGGATATCAGAGTCCAACCCCCTGCCCAAATCAGGACCAATACCAAATCAATCATCCTAGCCAGGGCTGAGTCCAGCTGGGATTTAAACCTCTAGGGATGGAGATTCCACCCCCTCCCTAGGGAACCATCCTAGTGCTTCCCCACCCTCCTAGGGAAATCGTTTGTCCTAATATCCAACTTGGACCTCACTCCGCTCCCTCTTCTTCCCGTAACTTGAGACCATTGCTCCTCGTTCTGTCATCTGCCACCACTGAGAACAACCTCTCTCTCCAGCCTCTTTGGAACCTCCCTTCAGTAAGTTAAAGGCTGCTATCAAATCCCCCCTCTCTTCTCTTCTGCAGACTAAATACACCCAAATCCCTCAGCCTCTCCTCATAAGTCGTGTGCTCCAGCCTGCGAATAATTTTCATTGCCTTCCACTGGACTCTCCAACGCGTCCACATCCTTTCTGTAATTTATTCTAATTCAAACCAGCAAGTGCCCAACATGGCAGAGAAAGGTAAAAACCCTTAAACTCTGTGCCAGTCTGACCTTCCTGACTCCAAATATGGGAGTTAGACCCTAAGAAAGTGAGCAAGACCCACCTGTCACATTTGGGAAAGAATATTTTATAGGAATTCAGAGCCTTCTCTGGGTAGTGTCCCATCTGGTATTGTGGGAGACATTTGCTAGTAGTAGCCATGGATGTCTCATTGTAGGCAGTCTTGTCTTACACCATTCCCTCCATAAACTTATCAAACTCCATCTGAAACCTGGGTTTCCCTCCATTATTCTGCTTGGAAGGTGCTTCAGATCTTCACTCCCTGGTCATTAAACCTTTTGTCTCTAATTTCAAACAAACATAATGATGATCAGTTTGTTCTTGTGCCACTATAGGCCCTTACTTAACTGCTCTTCCTCCCAGGATTTTATCCCTTTGTATTTATAGAGGGCAATCATTTGTCCCCTCATTCTTTGGCTTGCTCAGGAGATTTTTCTCTATAGGATGAGACTGAAAACTCTCTATACCTGTTCCTGTTAAAGTTCTATTTTTTTATTTTTTTTTGTTTAAATAAGGGAGACCAGAATTTTACTCAGTACTCCAGCTGGTCTCACCAATCTCTTCCATAGTAACATTTCCCTATTTCTACTGAAATGCTCACCTCCTATCAGGGATGTAATAGTGAAATCGATTAGCCTCTGTATCAGAGGCAGCAGTGTGGAGTGGGGCTGGAGCACACTGGCTGCTGGCCCCACTCCTGGGCACTCTAGGATAGTCAAGTAACCAATAAGAATTCATGAGGTTAATCAGCTGTTCAGTTAACCAATATTTAACAGCCCTACCTGACGCATCCTAGGGTTGTATTTTGTATTTTTTTACCACTGTCACATTGATGGCTCTTAATCATCCTGTGACTGACTAGTACATGAGGGTCTCCTCTTTTGCTTCCAACTGATGTGTCCCCAGCGTATACCTTTCACTCTGTGCTATTAAACTTCATCCTATTTCTGTTATTCTAGTTTTCAAGGTCAACCATATCTTGTATGATTTTGGGGTAGCTCTTATCAGCAAGTTTGAGTTATGCAAATCTTTTTTTTTTTTTGTGCTAAGGTAATGAATGAATAAATTTGGTGCTACGACCAATCCACAAGGCCACTGGTAATGTCCTTTCAGCATGACTTTTTATAGTCTCCTTTAAGCTTTTCCTTACCACCTTTTGAGTCTCTCATTAATTCTAGTCTCCACTAACACGTTTTCACATGAGAAACCCAAGCAGAGTAGATCTGCAATATTTCCTTTGTCTAGAAAACTTGGCATCTTAAAGATCAGATTAGTTTGCGTGCTTAACCCTTTGTAAAGCCATGTGCATCTTATCCCACTTACGGTTTACCTCTGGTTGTAACTGTTCTCTTTCAGAATTTTTGTTCTAAGAACTTGCATGTGACTGAGCCCAAACTAATGGTCTTGGAGATTAGCCATGACTTAAGTTCTGCTTCTGTTTCCTTTTCCCCATTAGCCACCACAAGCTCCTCAACATTCTTCCAGTATGTTCCTGGAGATGTGAGGAAGGAGTGTTGGTAGTTTGTTTAAAATAAAATGAAAACGCAAGGCTTGTGCTAAACCATCAGAGGGTAGTGAGCTCCCTGTCTGCTTAAAGGCATCTTTCTTGGGTTCAAGAAAATAGTGGACAGTCAAAGCTGCTGCCATTGTTCCTGGGTATAAAAATTGTCACTTAAGATGCACTCTGCAATTCTGGATATAATCCAGCTGTGGGGGCAGAAAGGAATTTACTCTTAGGCAACAGACACATGACCCCATTTGAGTATAAATATTTTAAAATAAGGATAGTTGTTTGTGTAGTGGGGGGTTGTCTTGTTTTGCTTACCAGCCACTGAAATGAGGTAGGAGGCATCCATGCTGTCTATGCCCAGGGTTTTGGCTCTTGCTGCCAGATGAAAGGTTGGAATGAAGTAGGCCAGCTGGCTGAACAAAAATGACCAGGCAAAAATAAAGAAGAAGGGATCTTTTAGCAGAGAGAAATCAAGAAGAGGCTGTCTTCTGGGAGTGGGTTGAGAGTTGGAATTCCCTTCCTTTTGCAATGGGAAGTTATAGCCACAGTCCCTGTCAGTGGCTCCCCCAGGAGAGCAGCTGTTGGGGGTCTCTCTCCCAGGCACTTCCAAACCAGCTGAGTTCTGTGGAACTAGTGATCCTAATGATCCAGCTGACTGGACCCTTTTTGTGACAGTGGAATCTTGCATAGCAGAAACCAGTCTAGTATTAAACTGTGTTTCTGTGGTGCTGATCTCATCAAGGTGGCTTGTAAGAGTTGCTGGATGTTTACTGTGTGTTAATGATCCATTGTCTTCATTTCTACCAGAAATGTCCTGGAGATTCTTGGTGTTAATAGGTCGCAGTAACATACTAGAAGGTATAAGGTTTAACATGACCCCTCCAAAAATCAGTAGGGTACCTGAGAGAAGAAAGGAGGAAGAAAGACAAAGGTTGGTTTTTTTTTTTTTTTCTCCCCATACTGATATTGTGCTCAGTAGTACTGTTTAAAATGGGCTTTTTTCATACTGAATACTGATCTGCTTCAAGAAAAAAGAATGTTTTGCAACAATCCTTTTTTGAGTTTTTCCCTAAACGAAGCCACCTTCTTCTGCTTGTGAATAACCTGTTATGATGGACAGAGACCAGCCAACTTACAATGGGAAACAAACTTACAAGAAACATCTCAATCCCATTGTTCTGCCTAATATTAAAACAAGGGGTGGGGAGGGAGAACTAAACATGTTTAAAGTTCTTTCCACCCCCTTCCCCTCCTCTTGTTCTCTTAATTCAGTTCCTGTCTTGTTTGGCGTGTTCCATACTGAGTGGTGAAAGTGTCCTTTCATTGAAGAAAATGTGAAAGTTTAGCAAATGAGAAACGGCATAAATTATAGTCACCACTTAATACCAATATAACATCACTGACTGACTTCTGTTTTGGAGAGAGACGACCTTAAAGGCTGAACCAACTCGAAGATCAGAGTTGCCATTCCTAATATGTCAAAGCTAAAACAAAGCAGCTTAGTTCCTCTGTCCATCAGAAGAAAGCGTCACACACAACCCCACAACTTCCATCTGTAGAATAACAATTTGCTCACCGTCGGCACGTCTAGACTGTTTTTCAATTTCAAAAGAGGATATGCAAATTCTGTGGGATTCCCACAAAATTTGCATATTTTCTGATTGCTTTTTCGAAAGTGGGTCTTTCGAAAGGGAAAGTAGTGTGGATGCGGGTTTTTTTTCTTTGGGGGTGAAACCTCTTTTTCGGAAAAAATGTTCTTCCTAAAAAAGGTTTAAGCGGTTTTTCGAGAGTTGTTTTTTTCCCGAAAAATGCGTCTATGTCTAGACTACGGGGAAGATTCAAAAGATGATATGCAAATTCTGTAGGAATTTGCATATCCTCTTTTGAAATTAAAACGTAGTCTAGACATGCCTCTTGAGTGGTAGTTGTGTAGTGCTGATGGTGAAATGTAGAAACAGTAAAACCTATTTACCTTGCCAACCATAAAAATCTATCAGAAGTTGAGTGAAAGGTGCTAGTACAAATGTCAGTCCCATTCCTGAGCGGGCAATTGCATTAGCTAAAGCCAGTCGCTTCTTAAAGTACCTGGCAGTCATCACAGCAGCTGCCTGGTACAAGCAAGCAAAGCCCAGCCCTGCAATAGAAAAAGAAAGCAGATGTCAGTGCCCAAGAAGTGACTCTTGTGGCACGAAGTGTGGAATAGAATTTTCACCTCCATGCAAGTGAGGCACAGAGCTGCTAGCTCAGCTCAGGGCCTACCTCAGTGAGGCCACACAACTAAGACTGTGTTGCAAAGCTGAGAGAGCCCTTTGTAGAAGCTGTAGAAACCATTTCATATTTAGCTAGAGCCATCTTGTATAACAGAAACCATTTCAGCTTTTTTCTCAAGCAAGTAGACCAGAGTGAACTTTCTGTCACCCCGTGAGAAGAGGCCTACAGGATGGGCCATTGGTATGTGTTAGTTGGGCTGGTTGGGACAGGAGATGTACGCCCTCGTACCTGTCCGCCATCTTGTTAATAAGGCTTTGTTTTTCCAAGTTTAATTGACAATTTCTGTAATTGGATGCCCTGACGTCAGACTGTTTGGCTAAGGGTATAAAGATACTAGGATTGATTGTATTAGCCAGCCTTACTGGGCCCGGCTCTGCTGGGACTACGTTTGGCTCATGCTGTGCTTTATTAATTAATAAAGCTGTTTGTTAGCTGCCTAAACACAGAGGAGTGTTTTTGCTTCGACAATTTGGAGGTTCCACTCAGATTCCTAACGCGCCACTTGCCCGTATAGACGGACCAGCACTCCACTTCCAAACCTCTCAGAGCGCTCAATAGAAGGTAAAGGGGATACCTGTTACGAAATCTCCTGGTTGACGTCTTGGGATTAGGAGTGACGGTCGGTCGTTGGGGTAAGGGGAGCTACGGACTTCAATTTTGTGGAGTAGCTAACATTTTTGTCTGTCTGTGTCTGTCTTTGTCTATTAGACCTGTCTTATATGTGTCAGTTCCAAAAGGGCACACTGGTGTCTCTAGTGAGGCAGCCATGTGCTGGACCCTCTGTGTTCGGACGCTGAAAGCTGGTGTCGTGCCATTACGCGCTCTCAGCCCACAGAACTGTGGGAAAGCTTTGTTGACTTTCTCTGTTATTTGTGGACATAGTACTGACCTCTGAGGCTAACCCCCGGCCATAGTATTTCCCCATTCCACCAGGTTGTCTCCAGGCGCCAGGACGTGGTGTTCTGCCGGGCTGGGGCAGGTGCCAGAAACCTCTGCGAGCCAGGTGGACTTTGAGTCCAATGCCTGATTCGGTGACTCGCAGAGCGAGCAGGCGGATTCTGATTCGGTGACTCGCAGAAGAATAGTGTAAGCAGGCGGACTTTTGGTTCGGTGCCTTACAGAATCTGTTCAAGCGTGCGCAGAAAATGGGGGTAGGTCAGTCTACAGGAATTCCAATGCCCTGGTTTTCCCTGGTATAGGATCCTAATGAAATCTGATATTAAGTGCCGGGTGTCTTAGGGCAGTGCCACTTAATAGAAACCCATGGGAACTGGACAGTAAAGAAAGATGCATCTAAATGTGAAAACTGTAGAGAAAAAATGTGTGTGGAAAATGAGTATGAATGTAATGAGTGAAGAATGAATGCCGCTGCATAGGTCTGAGACTTGAGCTGATCCCAGCTGCGCCAGGGCTCTCCCACGAGGGAGCTCTGAATGCAAAGGAGGGGGGGTCAGCTGAACCTTGAGACTCAGCGGATATGTGAGGGAGTGACGACTCCCCTTATTTCATGAGCTGCTAAGGTCTGACACTAGACCTGGCAGACTCTTTGTTTGGAGCGTGTAAAATTAGTTTAGTTGGGGGTTAGTCTAAACACCCCCCACTCTGCTGAAAGGCACCCCTGTGTACTACATGTACGTGCATAATGGTCCAAGGACCTGTAAGCATTTAACAAATTGGAAAAGAGGAAAAACAAAGCCTTATCAACAAGATGGCGGACAGGTACGAGGGCGTACATCTCCTGTCCCAACCAGCCCAATTAACACATACCAATAGCCCATCCTGTAGGCCTCTTCTCACGGGGTGACAGAAAGTTCACTCTGGTCTACATGCTTGAGAGAAAAGCTGAAATGGTTTCTGTTATACAAGATGGCTCTAGCTAAATATGAAATGGTTTCTACAGCTTCTACACCTTGCTGGGTGTGGAAGGAGACTGGATGTGATGCACACAAGGAAATGCCCAAGCTGTGCCTGTTAAACAATGAACAGTGGTAGGGATGGGTGGGACCCCAGTGGCGCATGGGGTAAACTCTTGGCTCTAGTGAAGTCACTATCATATTTAGAAACTAGCTTCTCCCCAGCTGCATATTCTTCTGAGGGGTTTAAAAAGACCAGATTTGCTATGCATGGTGGATTGAAACAAACAGAAATCTACATAAT